ATAATGCAGAATAATTTAATAATGATAATTGATAATAGTTTTTATACGTAAAAGATATTATAGCTGTTATTTAAAATATGTGAATATTGGTAACAAAGAAGAGATACAGACTAAAACAATTATTGAGCATTAAGGGAGAAAATGTTTTCTTTGGAAAACAAATATTTTATTGAAGCAGAAATGAAATGCGTATATTAAGAGAGCATTTTTTTTTTAAATTCTCAAAACATAATATTATAATAATTAGGTCTTTAAAAATTATCAGTATTTATTTCAGAAGTAAGAGTCTCTTTTTGGTACGATTATTTGGCTGGAAAGAAACATTGAAATGTATATGACAAAAGTTAACCGATATTTATTACTAGGTGCTATAGTTGCCTGAAAAAGTTAATAGATTTTTGAATTCAAAATGAATTAAAATTCATGGTGTTCGATCAAATCTTTATATAAACTACATTTACTGATTCACTACATTATTATACACAATATATTAATTATTAATTGTTATTAAAGTTTGAGTCTATTTCATTTTGCCGAATTTCATTCAAAAATCATGAAAACCATTCCTTGTTATTCGGAGGGCAAAATGTAATTAACAATATACACTGACGCATCCTTGAAATAATTAAGAGTGTCATCACTCACCATATTATTATATTGACTTGAACAAGTAATCAACATTCACCATATAATTTACCAAATAATAAAATGGCTTCTTAAATTTTTTTTTCCAATATCATAAATTTTGCATATACAACAATTTTATCCAAATATTATCCAATTTTCTCCAATAATTATGAAAAGCTGTTTTTTGTATTTTTTAATTAACTACAATAATCAAAATGAAGTTGTATGAAATGTTGTATAAAAGTTTATTTATGTAATTGTTTAAGAACGTGAACATGACAATTATCATACGGCAATTAGTTTTACGAACACATACTGAGAGAGAAGAGGGTTAATACTATTATTTTGCAATATCTGCTATGAAAATTCAACAGGAATTAGTTGTACGGGAATTCTGTTAAATTTAGTTAATTTAATTAGGAAATAAGTCTTAGTAAAGATCAATGTACGTATAAAATTTCAGCTTTTTATCTTCAAGTGTGTGGAAGTTTTGTAAACATGTCCAATATCCATGTTTTTTTTAAATTTTTTTGGAAAAGTGTTGAAGAGAAATTCCTATATATTGGTATTGTTAAAAAACAAAATTCCCGAAGAATGAGAAACTTGCTTCAATAATTCGTAATGAAATGCGTCATATATTAATAGAGGGAAAAATGAGTTGGTCTCAAAGAATATTATTTAAAGATAGAAAACTTAAATATGAGTTGAATATTATGTACAACAATAAATTTGGTTAAAAAAATTTAATCTAACACTATGGTGCTGACTATAATTATTGAAATTCTTCATGTAAATAAATTGCTTATTTCGAAATTCTAAGATTTTTAATGAATCTATTCTATAAGTTTATTCTGTTATCCTCTTTCTATGCTACCAGTTATAACCAGTTAAATATTATTACCCATATGTATATTTATATGTATATTTCAAGCCAATTAATCGGTTCAGAAATAGACGTTAATATTCCTTTTGTTAAACGAAAGTAATTTTAAAACAGTAAAATGTAGTATTATTATTATGGTATACGTTTACACGTATGTATGTATCATACAACAAAGATGTATGATAAGGAAAGTATTGTCATAGTAATTTGTTTTAGAAAAAAAAACCAATTTCTCCCAGGTTGAACCGTTAATCTTGATGAAATGAAATATCTATGCTTTGCATTTTATATAGGAAGTGTGGCTTTATTGAAAGTTTAAATTTTTTGGAAATTTTATATTTTAATATGAGTATATAATATAACTAATGCGGGAGGGAGGCTATTTTTTTTATCTTCCGTCGTATTTAATGTAATAATGAACAAATTTACTTTTAGTTACAAATTTATGAAAATTTGCTATGTTTACTGAATCGGCTGATAGAAACCTCATTAGAAAAATTCTGTCCCAGACTCAGACCCTAATGTGCTGTTCACATCAATATCTTTTACTGTTACTGTTCAGGAAATACACAAAATATTATAAGTTGAGTTCTATATAATAAAAAATAAAACAACAAAATAAAATACAAAAAAAATAAAGCATAAAACATACAAACACAATTTTTTTTTTGGGTCAAAAAATTTATCTTGCGTGAAATCGTTATAGTCATTTTACACTCCGTCAAGTGAAATAATCAATTTTAATTATCATTAGGATTACTATTTTCTATGTATTAGTTGTATACGCACAATATGCAGGCATATATGTAATTCATTATTAATGTGTCTATAAAAGTGTTAAAAATGTTTGCAATACATTTTATATATATTTTGTTGAATCGGATGTTCGATACTTTCTCGACAACAAATTCTATGTGTATTATATTGTATAATACAATATTAAAGCCCTTTAAATAACCTATCCTTTTATGTATGGAAAACCACCAAAAAAAAAAAAAACAAAATTGAATTGTATATAAAATTCATATGAGATGTTGAGAAAAATATAATACTCGTAGCAACACCTTCTATAGAAATTTCTAACAATAGAAAAACTTTATTGTAAAATATCTGAAAAAGGATTATCGAGTGAAATTTATTACATTAATATTTTTGTAAAATAAGATATAGGTAAGTTAAGGGCTTTTACGTAAAATTTAAGATGTCAAAGTGATAAGATCAAAAAAAATTTTAAGTACGTAAAATAGAGGAGAACGAGAGGATTGGACCTTATAAAAGTGATTTGGATGTGAAAACTTTAAATTTGAGATAAAAAACCTTGTAATTCTGGCTTATAATTGACAACTATTTAGATTTTAATGACACGGTTTGATTCGTCCGATTTTGTTGAAAAATATAACTCATAATCAGAGTTTGAATTGCCATATTAAATTAAATTTGATATGTGCCTCGAAAATCATGAACGAAAAATAAGTAAAACCAAAAATTTTCAACTAGAAAGATTCGTACATGCAACCAAATATCTATTATCAATAATACTACAACAAATTTTTGAATAAAATTAGATCATGAAATTTTAAATTAAAATTTCGAAAATAATTGTATGAGAACAAAATTTGATATTATCATTTCTATGATGCTTTTTCTGTAAATAGCTGAAAGGGATCACAAAACAAATAATATTGACACGCATTTTATAGAATGAACCCGTAAGATACACCTTATTTTGCACGGCAGCGTAATTACATTAAAAATACAAAAAGAGTGTTTTGAGGACATTTTACCAAAATTAAAATCAACAAGTAAAAATGTTTCAGTCGGTATAAACCGATTGAATTATACCCTGCACCTTTCGTTATTATGTAGCAATTACACAAACCCGTGAAGTCATTCTATAGAAACTTCACGGATATGTCTGACCTATAATTGGACATCCGACTGCCAAGTTTCATGAATCTGACTTTATAATTTTTCCAAATATTTAAAATTAGCTTTAGGAGTTGTATGGCAAGTACCTGAACCTGTAAAGCAATTCCATCAAAACTTCATATATCTGATCTACAATCGGACACACAACTGCCAAGTTTCATGAATATGACTTTATTATTTTTCCAAATATTAAGAATAAGCTTTTAGGCTTGTATGGTATCTACTCGAACCTGTCAAGCAATTCCACCAAAACTTCATAAATATATCTGACCTGTAACTCGACATACAAGTGCCAAGTTTCATGAATCTGACTTTATTATTTTTCCAAATATTTAAAATAAGCTTTTGGAGTTGTATGGCAAGTACCCGAACCTGTCAAGCAATTCCACTAAAACCTCACAAATATATCTGATCTACAATCGGACACACAACTGCTAAGTTTCATTAATCTGACTTTATTATTTTTCCAAATATTAAGAATAAGCTTTTAGACTTGTATGGGAGCTACTCGAACCTGCCAAGCAATCCCACCAAAACTTTAGAAATATGTCTGACCTATAATTGGACACACGACTGCCAAGTCTCATGAATCTGACTTTATTATTTTTCCAAATATTAAGAATAAACTTTTAGACTTGTATGGGAGCTACTCGAACCTGCTGAGCAATCCCACCGAAACTTCAGAAATATATCTGACCTATAACTCGACATACAACTGCCAAGTTTCATGAATCTGATTTTATTATTTTTCCAAATATTTAAAATAAGCTTTTGGAGTTGTATGGCAAATACCCGAACCTGTCAAGCAATTCCACTAAAACTTCACAAATATATCTGATCTACAATCGGACACACAACTGCCAAGTTTCATGAATCTCACTTTATTGTTTTTCCAAATATTTAAAATTAGCTTCTGGAGTTGTATGGCAGGTACCCGAACCTGTCAAGCAATTCTTCTAAAACTTCAGAAATATATTTGACCTATAATTGGACACATGACTACCAAGTTTCACGAATCTGACTTTATTATTTTGCCAAATATAAAAAATTTGCTGTTGGAGTTGTATGGCAGCCACCCGAACCGGTGCAGCTATCCCATTGTAATTTTTAGAGCATGTGTAGAATATAATTGGACACATGTATACAAAATTTTATATTTATAGCTTTATTAGTTTTCGAAATATTTAAAATAAACTCCTTGAGTTGTATGGCAGCTACCCGAACCCGTTGTCCGAATTAGTCCAATAACAATAGGGTTCGTCCTTGGCACAAAAGAAAAAACTTGTGAAAGTTTGGTGTCGATAGCATTATTCGTTTTTGAGTTATCGTGCGATCGGACGGACGGACGGACGGACGGACGGACGGACGGACGGACATGTCTAAATCGACGCAGAATTTTACGCTGAGCAAGAATATATATATATGTCCATACCGCAGATGACTCCTTCAAGTAGTTACAAACTCCATACCAAAGTTAATATACCCTTCACGAAGTGCAGGGTATAAAAATCAGCAAGCAATTTTAATTTCCTACAATATTTAAAAAGTTATCAAAAATTACCTTGCATGGTAGATAAGCATGTGTACCAATTTGTGTTGTTATATTTGTTATCGCATGTCCATCAATATGCAGGTCAGGATAATACGATGACGATGATGCTGATGATGATGATGTTAAAGACGATGAATACGATTTTAACGCAGACGATGATGATAACGATGATGATAAAAACGATGATGAAGATGATGATGATGATGAAGAAGATGGCGACAATACTAATGATGACGATGATAATGGTGATGAAACAGATGATCCAATAAAATGTTTTTGTTCATTTTCTTTTTGTTTAAATTTTTCTTCTAATTGCTTTTGTTGTTTTTCAAATTTTACTGCTAATGATGAAGATTTTATTATTGGTTGATTTAATAGACTCGATGATGATGATGATGATGAAAATGAAGGTGTTTGTGACATATAAGGATACTGTTGCTCATCATATTTTTGTTGTTGTTGATGTTGTTGCTGTTGTTGATGCCTTTGTATCGTTAAAGTATCCTGTTGATTTGTTATACTATCTGATGTTGCATGTTCTATAATATAAAAAGAGAAATAAAATATTAAAATGTTTGATTAAATTGTAATTAAAAGGAAAATTGATAACAAATTTTTTATTTTCAATGAATTTTTTTTCAATGAGTTTTTTTATATAAAAAAAACTCTTAAAAATTAGCTTGTTATTAACCTAATTTTAACTAGCAATAAATTTTGTATGTTGCTGAATTTTGCTAGTAGTATAAGGAGCAGAAATATTGTGTTTTCATTTTTGTAATGTTTTATAGAAGAAGTTGAGGAATAGGTTAAAGGTTTCATATAATATGGGTTGTTCCGGGAAATTTTTCCTATGCGGTTATCATCATTTACATCTTGTACTTCTAACTATTTTCGATTCATTTTCTAATATTATTAAAGGTTAAAATTTGAAAATATTAAATTCTATAAATACCTGTCCTTAAAATTCCTCAAATTCAATGAAATAAAAACAAGAGCAAAATACCAAGAGCACAAAAAACTTTCTAAGAAACAAATATCCAAATATTTTTCAAGACATACCTAATTTCAAGACAGCATGAAAATATTTACTTATACCTTTCTTTAACCACCATAATTTTCCATGAGATACATTCAAAAGATAATAATTTACATAAGAAATAATAAAAAATAATTGAAAACTCAAGTTATACGATTGTGGGAGTAATTTTAATTAGTTTTAAATTCAAATTCCAAGAAAGAAACCATAAAAAAACTTTTCTATATTTTAATTTCTTTGTCGAATTATAAAAGATATCAATTTGAAATTTTAAAAAGGATCCTACATAAAATAAAAATATTTGCACAATTAATTGTAATATTAAAGAATACATAAACATTTTATTGTTCTTGACTTTAAGTGAAATTTCGATTGTAATTAGCATTTAAAATTCAATTGTTGACTACTGTTACCTTATTCAATATATTAAAAAAGCGTTGGTTTTATGGAGACCTTTACAAATGAATTATAGTTGAATATAATATTATTATGCTACTGTTAAGTGAAAAGTGAAATAGGATTGCGGGGGATCATAAATCACCGGTTTCAAAGACAGAGGACGAATGTATTTTCGATGTCCTTACAATTTCATAGGAATATTGATTAGATTTCCTTATAGTTGTGACAAATAGTTTTATGAACAGTAGAGTGATTATAGAAACTCAAATGTTCTATTCGGAGTATAATAAAATTACCAAACAGAGTATAATAAACGATGGATCGGGCATAATAAAACGAAACCAGAATGAAAGGGCCGATGATGTATTTTAGATTGTAGTTATCGAAGCAGTACATTCGATGTAATGGTCAGTATATCTGTTAGAACTTCTTTTATTAATTACTGATGAGGAAATGGGGAAAAGAAAATAATACAAATTTTAGAGATGATGTTTATTATAGTCGTTATCTCTGAATCACGCTCTAAGATTGTGGACTAAGCCCATAATTCTGAATAATTTATTAATTATTTAATTAATGTGTCTATTAGCCAATTGATATTCAATTCAGTTACATTAATTAATTAGAACAAAACAAGTTTAAAATGAAAAGTATCCATTTTTTATTGAATTTTTAAAAATTTCACTTTAAAAAATTAATTTTTATTTTAAAAAACTTTTGATATTCAATTATTATTCTCTATTTCACTTTCTATACACTATAGTTTTACGTGAGCGGTCATTTTAACTCTTTAAATAAAAATTTCAATTTTAAAAAATAAAGTTGTTAAAAATTGAAATTCATATAAATAATCTTCTGACCCAAATTGAATTTGATCCTTATTACATTATATAGAAATACTCCAAAAAAAAATAAGACTAAAAAGACAAAAAGGACTTTCCTTTTGGCATTAGATTTAGAATGAGAAATGACAACAACAAATAAAGCAAGAAATAAAAAAAAAAAGAAAATGAGAGAGAGAAAATATGCAGTAATAAATTAATAATATCCTTTTAAAATATTTGCCACTCGCTTTCTGCTCTCCTTTTTTTTGTTGTTGTTGTGTCTTTTTCTTTTCACATTTTTAGTTTTCAAATTCATTAATTTGCCATTTTTGCAAAAAAAAACAAAAAAACAAATAAATTGTTGTTTTGTTTTTATAGTTTTTATTTTACAAGAAGAAAAAAATTTATTGTCTTTGGGTTTTATTTTTTTCTTTTGTCTTTTTTTTCAATTTTTGAATGAAATTTTACAATAAATTTTCCTGAAGGATAATATTGTTATGGTTCTTTTTTTTTTGTTCGTATTCTTCTTTGAGTTTTTCTTTTCGGTTATTCAGTTTTCCTTTTAATATCATTCTAATATTAATGTTTTCGCTTACATCAACATTATCAACTTGATTCTTATCTAGATTTTTACTCTTTGTCGTTCAAATGGAGACATAGGGTTTCCAATCTAGTATTGAAGATTATATTTTAGATATATGAATAGTCTTTGGTTTAAAGCATGGTGCTAATTTTGAAGGCCTTTTTATATGGTTAACTTAAAATTGGTATTTAGCCATTTAGTTAAAATGCCGTATGAAAATTTTATTTTAATTAGAATCAATAATATGCAATACAGCTATCGCCCAAAATAATATCGATATTGTGTTAATGCTTAATTCAGCAAATAATTATCACTTCCTAATTGCAAAAGGATTGTGCTTCAGTACTATTGCAGTTTTTGTTAGTTAAAAATTTAAAATAATTTTAAGGCTTTTTATTTTTTCATTCAATTTTTGTAAATTTTTAAAATTTAATTTAATTTTTGCCTAAATTAATTGCTTTAATTCTTGCCTTAACTGAAATATCACCCGCATATGCCTAACTAAAGTAATTGAATCCGTTTTCGCTCATTAACGTTTTTTATTATATAAAATAATGCCGAATATTCGAATGGTATTAAAACAGTTTTGTTCTCACCTAATTTCCAAATTGTATTTAAGCTGAAATTGCTAACTAAAGTATCTAAACTGAATAATACTGGAAAATCTTCCAATTTAACTTTTTTTTGTGGAAGTTTAAGGTCGTCTATTAAAGTTATATAATAAGGACAATTAATAGAAATTTTTCATGCAACCGCAAAACGGATGAATGGCCGTATTTAAAGAAATGAGTCAAAGGTAGAAAAATTAAAAAAATTTTTTATTGAACCAGACTCGAATTAGTGACCTCTTACTTTCAAGATGGATGTTCATAATAACTGAGCTGCAGAGGTATGAGAAAATTGCTGGGAAATTGTTCTTCATATTGTTTTATACCGTAATATACACGATTAGTAAGAGACATACAATCTCGGAATTTTGAATACTTTTGATCAAATTTCATTCATATAATTTTAAGATATTGGGAACTCTTTTTAAGGTTTAATAATTTATATTAAAATTTGTGGGTTATTTGATATTTTTTTTAGTTGCTGGTTCAGTTGTTTTTTTCTCTTTTTCAATTTTTGGTATTTAATGCTGTGTACCGCAGTTTTTCTGATTTTATCCTTTTTTGTATTATTTTGCCTTAAATTTTATTTTATTATTTAATTTTTCACTTTTTCTTTTAATTTTCTCAGTTTTATTTTTCCTTTATACAAAAATATAAATCTTAAATTTTCCTATAATTTATATTTAAGAATATTAATGTTTTATTGATATATGTATGTATGTATGTAAATATATATCTATGTATTACAAAACAATATAAAATATAGGTGCCCATAATGGCATAATGTGCATGTACCATATATATTCATAATAATTATATAATATACATGTATGTTTGTATATAGAATTGTACCCTATATATTTTGTGCGCAAATAAATTATTGAAGTATTAAAAAGTTTTTGATGCTATGAGATTTTATTTTATCAGTATTTTGGCAGACCATAACGGTGATGATATTATCTAAATACATAAATAATGGTGATATACATATACAATGAAACCTTTATCTGTTATTACATAATATATATATATATATATATATATATACGCATACATATAAAATATTTTAGTAGAAAGGACTTTATTTAAGTAAATTTTGATCGAATTTCTAATTTTATATTTTATTTTGTTATTATTATGATTTCCATTTAGGATTGCGGATAAGATATTCTAGATTTTTGTTTTTGTTATTATACTCGTATGCTTTTATTTTATAAAAGGAATAAAATAAATTTTAAGCTAGAAATATTTAGAATTTAGGTTATATAAAATTTAAGAATCTATAATAAATTTAGTATAGAAATTGTTAAAATATTTTATCTTAAATAATTAAAAGTTATTAGCTATAGCCATAGAGCTACAAGGATTATTTATAAAATTTTGTTTATATTAATTGTAGTATAAGCAAATTATTGATTCATATGACAACGATATATTTGTGTATGAGGTTTGATATAAGAAACCAAAAATTCAACTACCTTGAGGATAATTTATTCTTAAGTTATATAATATGATATGGTGAATTAAATTAACTAATATTGGTTTATAACAGCTACAAGCGCAAATCATATATTATACTAGTAGAAATAATGAAGATTTAATGAAGTTATATTTGCAAATATATGGTTTTGGTTTCTCAAATTTCTAGACAATAATAAGACTTTTTAAAAATTACAGTAAATCACAATATATTGAGAACTGCGCTCATATTCTTGTGTATCATAAAATATTGCTAGTCTAATTTTTTCATAAACATTGTTTAATTATCAGAACTACAGTGAAATTGTTATATGAGTAAGGCTGCTAAATCATGATACATAATTGTTTTGCTTTTAAAGAATTGTCAAAAACATATTGGTACTCGTATATGAATCAAGTTATTTTATTATGAAGACTTCTTTTTTTCAAAATATTTTATTAATTATTGATTTTTACAGTTCTGTGTTGTTTTTATACCATAAATAAGTTTTGTTTCTTTAACAAGTTAAAATATGTGCTCTCTACCTTATTTTATAATTCAAGTAAATTGTTTTATTTCAACTATATTATAATGGTTTCCACTTTTCAACAGATATCTTGAATTTAAGAT